AAGTACAATAAATGCAGTTTTTAAATGAGGGTTTCATTTGTTAAGGGGGAAAAGCTTTCCAAACCGACCTGGCACTGTGTGAAACACTAATTGCCCCATTCAAATTTTGTCTTGCTAGCCCACAGAATATTTCCCCAAAATTCTTAGGGGATGAATAAGATGCTGTTTGGCAAATATGAGACCAGCAGTGGTTTTGTCCTCGGATCTCTTCCATGGATGCTATTATTGCCCAGTCTTTGTTTGTGGATTGTGGTGTAATGTGTTCCTCTTAGACTACTTCACTTTGTCAACAGGCTCTGTTCAAGTGATGTTTTAATTCAACAGGTCTGGCAGTAATCAGGACAGGGTATGGCAAGTAAAATTGAAGTTGCCTTTCCAAAAAAAAGAAAAACATCTTGACTTATTTGTATATAAATTAATGTGAATACTTGACTCTTGCATGTTCATCAAACCAATATATTTTTTTCCCCAGGAAGTGATCTTTTTATATCTGGATCTTAAAAGTTTGACTGTTTTCTCGCTGTTTTTTTTTTCTGCAGCTGTCGAGGTTGCTTCGCTCCTGCCTGTACTTCTTCCTGTCGTGCCTGTTCTTCCACACTGTTGTCGTTTTATACGGAGCTCCACTGATCGAGTGAGTTATTGTTTTGTGAAACAGAGGTTGATAAAGAGAGACGCAGAGAGTAGCGATCACGACAGTAATACACAATAAACTGAGGATCCATGGAAGGATCACACATAAATGAATGAAAACAGCTGGCAACTACAGAAATCTTCAAACTCTGAAAGGATTCTGTCACTTATACAAAGTCAAGTGTTTTACTTTGTCTCTGCTTGTTTTTTATGTGCGTTTTAAAAATTCTTTTTCTACAAAACTGTCAATAACTCTCTTATTGCAGTTGTCGTTGATACCTTGAACCTATCATTTCTTACAGATCTGCCTTAGAAACATTCTCCCTTGCTGTGTTGCTGACTTCGTTAACCACGCTGAGGTGTCTTTGTGTCCTCGGCCCCAACATCCAGGCCTGGATACGAGTCTTCAGTCGCCATGGGTAAGGCTGAAATCATTTTCCTTCTCTTTCTTTCCTCCTGGCTTTTCACATGTCTCTGTGTCGAAGATAGTAACTGTTCTTGCTTTTTCTTTGTCTCCGGCTCCAGAGCTATGTCTGTGTGGGACACCTGTCTGCAGATCACTGTGGCCTGCACACTTATTGGAGCCTGGGTTGGAGCATTCCCCATACCTCTGGACTGGGATAGGCCCTGGCAGGTAATTCTATGCATGGACAAAGCGTATACTCATGGATTTGTATCCTCACATTAGGTCTTATACAGTCTGTGACCTAACCCAGCAAACATTTTGACTTTGAGTACTCGGTCGGCTTATAGTCCACGTTTAAACCTGGTTCAAAAAATTTTCAGCAATTAAAAGTTGTGCTGACATTGCCTTCTGATGGACGTGTAGTTCTTGAACACTGCTTCGATTTTATAGCAAATGCACACTTGTGTGCTTTTATAACTTTTATGAAAGATACCAAAAGAGAGACTTTAATTGTTACCTTTACTCCGAAGAGTATTTTATATCTCACTGGTCCTTTGTCAGTTTGTATGTTCTTGTCTCTCCAACCAGAGATATCAGTGTAGGAAACAAAGAAGAGGCACTAAGAGAAAGGAGTCAAGGCATTTTGCCATAATCAGACATCATTGCTTGGGAGCCTCAGTCAGCACCCATATCAATTAAATATGACCTGTAGCATGTGACTTTTTTATGTTTAGGCTTGTTTTTCATTAAATTACATGCTACAGTTTAATAAAAGGGTTCCTGATATTTCCTCTACACACATTCATATCATTTAGATCAAAATAACACAAGAAGTGGCTCAGTCAGTAGTCTGGCTGTGGCACTTCGTAAGCAAATTAGTTGGCAATGAAGGTACATTCAGTACTTTTTCTTTCCCCAAGTGTCGACGCAGCAGATGGATCTAAATGTTTAATTTGGCACAGAATTTGTGCCAGATGCCCTTCCTGTCACAACCTACACATTTATCTGAGCTTGTGACCCTGAGGTTGGGTTTGTGTCTCCTGGTCTGAAACCAGGGATCTTTTCCATCCCTGGTTTAATTTGTTAACCACTACAGCACGGAGAATCAAATGTCAATTTTAATTTTTTTTTTTGCAAATAACATGAATATTTCTTGCTTTGGAAGAGAGAGTCTGACTAAACCTCTAATCTACTGTATGTGGAAATATTCTCTATCCACAGTGCAGTTTTTGCTCTTAAGACCAGGGAACTAACACGACCATTTAAACCATATTACCCGCGAAGCCTCTCTTAGATTTTTTTTTTAGGTTTTCTCAAATTACTATTGGATTCACAAAGGCCTCTTAACTGCACGGACTTAAATTAAAGTAAATTACTGGTTTCATTTTGATGAATGGAGGAGGTGGATGTCCTTGTGATTTCATTATTCCATTAAAAGTACCTTTAAAATGACCTTAAATGGGTACTTTTCTGCTTTGTTAGTTGGTGAGTAGCAAAAGTGTTGTAGAAGGGAAACAAGGAAGAGAAAACAACAGGAAAAAATTGGAATACACATGTATTAATAGCAGCAACATCAGGCTGATGCTCTGTAGCGACAGAAGTGAAGATTGTCTTTCAAAAGCATGAATGAAGTGATAGGTTGCTATGGTGATATAACACAAGTGTGCCACAGGATGATACTGGGCACTAACCAGCATGAAGCTGGTGTGGTAGCTGTCAGAGTGAAAAAAAAACTGGTGTAAATTACACATTTTTTTGTAGCTGATTTAAGTTCTTAACTTCCAAATTCTCCACGATGATTTTTCTAAGCACTGGACAGAGTAATCAGCCAATGAATAATGAATTAGATTGTTTTGTTTTGTTTAATGGAAAATGGAACACATTAAAGTTATAATTGCACAGGGAATTCTGTGTAAAATGACTGAGGGAAAATGCAGAGGTAATTGGGGTGTAACTCAAATTGACAGACTAATAGTTCAGCTTCTCTTTGATGTATCGGACCAGTGTCAAGCTTTTAGCCAACAATCATGCTCACTTCTCTACTACTACTTTTTTTGTAGGTCTGGCCTGTTTCCTGCAGTTTGGGCTCTTTGTTCGGCTACCTGACCGGGCTGGTTGCAGCTCCAGCGTGGATCCATTATCACCGCAAACAGCTCACATACAAGTGCAAGTGATAGTCAGACACACATGTATTATGCCTGTGCTTGTGCGAATGTATCCACGATGGCGTGACTCCTGATTCTGCTGAATTTCTCTCACTTTTTATTATTTATTTGGGAGCATTCACCCCCTTTGCAGCCTGTAGGGTTGTGAGGCAGTTTTGTAAAAGCTCAGAGGTATTATTTTGTACATGTGATGGCTGAAACGGAACATTTTTAAACGTAATAAAATATTTTCTTCGTTAACAATGTGTATTTACTTGTGAAATTGGGCGATTAAAGCTCCTTGACGTCAGTATGTGTGTTTCTGAAAAACCTGCAGGTGGTGCTGTTGGTTCGCCACCTGTGTGCGTGTGTTTATGTGAAGGTGAGGAGAGTTTTAATGAAAGCAACAGACTGAGGCTCATTTGCAGTGAAATGCAAAGTAATCAGTATTATGGTTGGATGGCCATTTGTTGAGAGAGTCATGAGAGGAAGTTAGAAAATTAAAGAGAAAATGTAAACCTGCTGCAGAGTTGGCTTCCATTCTCTCTCTCACACACACACACAGACGCTATTCTGCACCTGAAGCCAACTGCTGATGAATACTGTTCCTTTTTAAACGACCATTAATCTCGCTCCAACTCTATTTCAACACCCTCTCCGCCTCCCCAGCTCCCATTCCACCTTTTTCACATCCTTGGGCAACCATATTGATTCACTTTCATTTCGAGGACATTAATTTCCCTCCTTTCACGCCGCACCACATCTTAGTCCTCCCTTGCACCCAGTCACCGCAATGAAATGTACATTTTCCAGAACGGAATGTGAAACTGAAAGGTAAATGAGTGATGTTCCTTGCAAATCGTCCGAACGATTGGTATACACAAGTAATTATGGCCAAGATTTAAAATTAAAAAAGCGGAAGAAATTGTCGGTTATCTTTGCTGTTTAAGCATTTTGTGCTGGAAAGTTTCAGTAAAAAAATCAGAAGCAAAGCTGCCCAATAGCCCTGTGCTTGAACTCCTTCCTTGTTGCCAGGGAAAAAACAGCCTGAAGGAAACAGATGAAAGATGGAGCAGAGGAAAGTCTTTGAAAGTCTACATATGCTTACAGCATCAATCTTTCCCTTTCTCTCTTTGATGAAACTCAATCTGACCTCATGCTGTTAACTCTATTACCCTTTGTGCTCCATGCTTTTCTTTTCTTTTCTGTTTTTTTAAATTTTGCACTTCTGATGCGTCATTACATGTGGAGAGCAGGGGAGTTGGAGAGGAGGGCTTTGGAAGAGCATAAGGTATGATCAAACAGGTATCACGCTGACCTTGTGCATTGTATTAAAACGCTAAGTCTTTAAAAAAAAGCTAAGATTAGATATGTTTTTGAGTCCTTTGAGGGGTTTTTTGCAGGTGTAGTCTATTTACTCTGAGGACTGAAATCTGGTTGAAGTTGCTTTGTTCGTGTGCTCAGTCATCTGTGGCCTTTTCAATCTGTGAGACAAGCACAAGGCCCTTCATTCACGCACACACACACACACACAAAAGCTGCTGCTTCACAAATTGTTCCCCACATTCAATCTCAGAGAACTTTATTTATTCATTATTTGTTCTCAGGCAGCTCTATTGTAGCGGGGCATTGTGAGGAGAGGTAATTTGTCCTCTCTGCCCGTCCTCTCTCCTCAGCCTTTTTCTCCAGGGCGGCTGTGGTATGCATGTATTTGCAGAACTGTTATGTTTCTGCTTTGTTGAAAGAGAGTAGCAGACTGAAACCAGCCGGGTCCTCTGCTCTCTCTCTCCGGTGTTACCCCAAATCCAGCCTGCCAGAATGAGTATTTTTAAGGGTAGTATTTTTAAGATTCCTCATGCTGCTGACAGCACACCGAATTAAAACACATCTCTACATGCCGTTCTGTGCAGCCTTTGAACATTTTTTTTTTTAGATCATCTTGGTTTGACAGCCTGCACATTAAATGTAAGGCTGTGTCTCATAATTCTCTGCCAAGCTAGGAGCTGAGATGACTCTTGCACAGGCTAAGGAAGAATACATTAAATTTGGGTGCTGATCTGGATCACCGTGTTTAAAATTGTGAAGTAAGCCACTGGCCTTTAAAGAGGAGATTGCTCTTAAAGTGCCCCTCAATTTCTCTCTTTTTCACCTGCTTCAGCAAGAAAGTCAAACATCTTATTAATGAAAGGGAGATTTTTCTCAGGAGATGGTGGATACCACTCAAACACCAGTATTCACAGCCGAGTGAATATTGGATTCATAAATTATACCAAATTTAAGAATGTGTATTAACTTCTCATTATTATAAATATTTAATAAACTAGTCGCATGGCAGAAACTCACTGCATTTAGGCATCTAGACAAGACGTGATTTAAGCGTTTGAATGTGGTATGGTTGTTACTGCCATGTTAGTGGCTGTTTACTGGGATTTTCCCACACAACCATCTCACGATTTTACACAAATATTCCAAAAAGAGCAAATATCCAGCGAGTGACAGGTATCTGGGTAAAAATGCCATATTGAGAGATCAGAGGAGAATGCCCAGACTACTTCAACCTGACAGGAAGGCCACAGTAACTCAAATAACAACCACTTGTTGCAAACAAGGTACACAGACAAGCATCTCTGAATGCATAACACATTGAAACTAGAAGCAGGAGACCACGGCAGGTGCCACTTCTGTTAGCTAAGAACAGGAAACTGACGCAACAATTCACGCTGGCTCACCAAAATTAGACAACAGAAGACTAAAAATATTGCCTGGTCTGTTTGATAGTATCATCCCAATATGGACCAAAACCTCCAAGGAATGTTTTCAGCACCTTGTTGAATCAGTGCCACAAAGAGTTAAGGTAGATCTGAAGGCAAAGGGGGTACAAACCCAGTACTGGCAAAGTGTACCAGCTGAGTGTTACTGCCTGATGTGCCGGGAATTTACAAACACGGTAGTAAGACAAGTAATGCAATTAAATAATAAAAAGGCTAGTGTTTTCTTTCTCATGCAGTAGAAATTATTTACCTTTATTTAAAAGAAAATTGATTTTATCCATCCTGGCTATGCAGCTCTTGAGAGGTAATAATGGATCAGTTCTAGACTGGATCAGCCGCAGGGATGCTCTGCTGTGATTGATGGCTTGGTTTAAAGTAGGCTGGCGGATTGATGTTTTGAAATATACCCCGTCAGAAGAAAAAAAAAGGCTTATTAATCACAGAGAATTTTATGCCTACTTAACTCCTGATAAAATAAAAAGATAGCATGACATGATAGTCAAGTTCCACATGTAAACAGCTCCTTCAAAGAGGGATTCAGATTTCAATTTTCTCCCGATGAGTCACACCCACGCGTCATTTAACACCCTTCTTCTTACACTCAGTCTCTTGCTCCTCACGTCCCACTTTCTTCCTGCGTTTTGTTTCTCGTTTTCCCCCAATTTCTTCTATTCACACTCCGGCGTGCTCTTCATTAACAGTTAGAGCGGTGTGTCGCACATATGTTATTGCAGAGCTCTTGTGTCTCTTCTATCTGCTCCAAGGGCGACAACAAAGGGTCTGTTGTTACTGAGGAGAGTTCAAGTGGGCTATCATGATGCAAGAGGGGATGCTGAAGGATTCCTTGATAAAAAGCAGGTACAAATCAAAACAAGACGTGAGATGACTCTCTTAAAAAGAGCTCCGCATGATGAATATGCTTTTAGAGGAACAAGGGGATGAAAGAAAGTGGCCGGAAAGAGGATGCCTGAGCAGGAGATTTATTTTTTATTAGATTTGTTAGCCATGTTAGGCTCTCTGCTGACTTAATGGTTAGTCCACTGTTTTGGTTTAGATTTGATCTCAACAGCTATTCGATGCATTTCCATGAAATTTAGTTTGAGATACTTTTTGGTACCCCGAGGATGTATCCTAATGACCTCATCTAATTTCGCTGTTTAAATTTGGCATTTATAACCAGTGAAAAACGTTTTTTCTCATTTGTTTTTATTGAGAGTCTTACTCATACACCCACTTCAGGTCTCTAATTGCTTTAAATGGTGGCAAGCCAAAAAAATAGGCAGCGCTGTTTTTGGAGAGCCTTCCTGTTAAACATCACCCAGTCTGAAGCCAGCCATCCAGAAGATTGCGTAGTATAATTAAATGGGGGATAAATCATCCTTTTCCTTTTTTTCTAACATGCAGGGTGCTTAACAAATTTATCTGACCACCAGTTAACAGAAATATTTTAGAAATCTGCCAAAAACTACTTTAAAACTAAAAATTATAACTATAGGGCGTGCCCTTGGTGCCGGTGGGGCATGCCCTGAACATCTCACCCAGGAGAATAAAATTATATTCTTATTGTTATTTGTGAGACTTTAAATTCTTGCTTTTCAATGTTAAATGTTGTTTGTTAAAATTCTTGAAATAGCTTTGGATGAAACTTTTGTGCGATCTATCTTTAAACCCACTAAATGCCAAATTTGTTCAATAGGATTCAAGTCTGGACTTTGACTTGGCCACTCCATTAGTACTCCAGAATCCTCTTTCTTGGTCAGAGTCTCTGCACAGCTCTGAAGGATGTTCGGCATCATTGCCAACTGGTTTTATCATCTAAGAAACATTTCTAAACTCAGACTACTGGTGTCAAAGGCAGAACTTGAGATGATTATTCATGCTTTTATTTCTCCTGGTTTGGATTATTGTAATGGTCTTTTTACTCGTTTCAACAAATCAGCTTTGGATCGCCTTCATACTGTACAGGATGCTGGGGCAAGACTTTTAACTGGCACTAACAAGACGTCACTTATTACTCCAGTTTAGAGCTCTACATGGTAAAGCTCCCCAGTATATCTCTGACCTGTTGAAACCTCAGGCTTCTTCCCGAGCACTTAGGTCTTCAGGTCAGAAGTTACTGTTGGTCCCATGTACTATGTTCAAAACACATGGGGATCAGGCTTTTCAGGCACTGGCACCAAGGCTGTGGATTTCTCTTCCGTCGTGTTTACGTTGTGTAGACTACACTGACTCTTTTAAAAAGCAGCTGAAGACATTTCTATACAAATGAGCTTTTAATTATTATTTTTCATTGTTTTATAATTTTAGTTTATTTATATTTCTGGTTTTATTGTGAAGCACTTGGTGATTTTTATCTATGAAAAATGCTCTATAAATACATTTTACTTACTTGTTATATGAGCACATAACCAGTCAGTGTCAGTCCTGATTGTTCTGGTACACCTTCCTGTTCATCATACTGTTGATTTTCACTTGCCCACACCATCTCCA